TTCTTGCAGGAGGTTAACATTCTCCAATGGAGTGCCCCTGGTCCCTCGCTGCAAAGAGCCAAGCACGCACAGATTTCCCCAAAAGCATTTTTGCCCACCAGTACCCAGCACACGAGTAAGAGAATATCCTGAGATCGGTATTTTCAAGTCTGAATATTCTCTCCGTTTCACTGGACCAAGACCAAGCAAGCTGGAATTTCACAGGTGTGATCTTGTTCCAGGGAGGGATTTTTCTGAGGAGGTAGCGGCACGTTGGATGCAAGACTGGGAAACAGAAGAATCCAAAAACTGAGGTGAACTTACTTGAATATTTTCCTAACTCTTTTGGCATCAAGAAGCTTGGCCTAGAGACTCCAGATTTTTCAAATCTGTTGATGTTGGCAGGAGATTGTGCCAATTTTCGGGGAGTTGTGGCTGGAATTATTAAGTTAATAGAAGCAGTTTCCACCTACGCTATGAACACGGTTGTTTTTATACACTCACGTCCTTAAAGCAGCTTCCTACCTCCCCCTACCACTGCAGAAGGCAATAGTAAAGAGAACATACGGAAAAGATGGGGAAAAGGAGGGGAAGACCTTGGTCTAAAGAAGGGGAACATCACGTATCAGAAGCTGGCAAAGTCGTTTGGAGAGGGAGACTAACAGCATCCAGAGGTGAAAGGCTAAAAAGGAGCAGCACCACTCTGTATGCAGTATGGGAACACACGTCATAACCACTCATATCTTCGTAAAGACAAAGCCCAGAAAAATTGTCTTTCATAGCACCAACCAAATTCAGGCCAGATTTTGTGATTTTTACTGTGTATTTCATCTTCTAAAAGGGACTGGGGTGGGGGGACTGCTGTTCCATGTTTCTTTTTTTTTAAATACATATTTTTTCCCTTTTAAACACTTTGCAAATGAGTGGAATAAATGAAGACATTACAGCCTGTAGCTGCTCACGACTGCCAAGATACTGAAAATTACCATGCCCACAGCAGAGCTGGGGAAGGAACAAGCCCTCCTACACTGCAGGCAGTGAGCAGGCTCCGTGTAAAACCACTGACGGAAGGAGGGTCGAGCTGAGCTGTCCCACTCAACACAGAACAAATGAATTTTTCTTTGCAACCTCTTCTAGCTCTTAAAACACAACAGGAAAATACAATTACAGGCGCAAACCACAGGCAGGGCTGACCCGCAGCCCGTCACCTTGGCTGGAGGCTGCAGCTTGCCAGAGGCATCCAAGCAGCAAACAATGCTGCTGAGTTCGGAGCAGGAACTCCTGGCAGCTGATGCCTCCGCCGGCGGAAGTGATTCTGGTTCAAATGCTTCCTTTACCGCTGATAACACGGCTCCTACCACTTGCAACGCCAAGGCTTAACAGATAAGCAGAGGATCTCCATGCACCGTAATCCAATCCTGTTCGACAGGGGTTTATTTTTAGAAGGCAGCGACACAAACACAGAGAGACAGAGACATGCTGCTCGAAGGGGTAAATCTGCATCACACACAAGATTGCTGGGGTGAGACGGATGTGCACGGCAGCACCTTCTGTCCCTTACCAACGGGTTTTTCAGGGAGCAAAGAATATTATCTGGAAAGCACAGGGCAGATCAGCTCTCCATATTCCATTACTAAAACCTACTCAACTAAAGAGAATTTCTTAATTTTTCAAGTGAAAAACAAAGCCTTTATTTCTGGCAGGTAGTAAAGAGATTTACAGAATACCTGATCGCTGTTTCTCCTCTTTATATTACCAGCACACTGCAGTAAGCAAAGCAAAAGCACACTTACACCATGTTAGGCAGGGAATCATTCTGCTTTTGTGTTCAGTTCCTATGTATTCACAAGCCTTGAAGCTCAGAAGGCAGTGAGACTGTGTGACACAGCTGCTGTGCTGAGATACTCAAATCCCGTGTGAATGAGTTACCTTGAGCAGCTCTGCAGCTGGAAACCAAAACCTGGAACATGCCATCAGATGAGCCTGGGCTCAGCACCACGCTCACGCGTTGGACTTGAACTCAGACGAGTGCTTTTCCCACCAGCAGATCTTGAAATCATGCTTAAATTTAATAAGCTGCCTTAGAAACTGACTGTGAACTTCATTTCTGAAGTTAAATGCAGGGCAAGCCTTTCTGCCTTAACCTAAGAGCTGGAAGAGATGCTGAGGACTCCCAAATCCATACGTCAGTGCTGCACTGAACGCTAGGATGCCTTGTACAGCAATACGTGTGGTCAGTGATGTAGTCTTAAAAAATCAATGCAGTTATAAAGGTAAGGCATTTCAGCAAAATACCGGTGAATTTCTGGCACTGATGCAATCTGTAAACCCATCAACCACCTTTGCCGGGTAAACCAGTGATTTCCTCCCGATGCCACGTGTATCTTGCTGTTCAGATGCAGATAAGGTTAAAATACATTGCTGGGGAAAGCAGGACAGCAGAACATTTCTGAAGAGAAAAGCATCCCAAAACTCACCCAGTTTTGTTAGCATGGTGCTAGGGTAAGAAGAGAACAAATCCTTTTTTACACATCTCCGACAGTTAACTGAAAACGTTGTCACGAGGTGAAATGCCAAGATATTAATACTGATTGCACCATGAGACCATATTATAAGTGACATAAACGTTACAAAACCATCTGAAATTTGGCCAGGCTGTTAACAGACAGCATTACACAATTCCTGACACAGCCAGCTAATCCCTCAGTGCTGCTATGCAAGTTGTTAACAGTGAATAGATTTTGAAAGGAGTTTACACCCACCACTCCTCAGATGCAACTCGCTATTAGGTGCCAAGCTGTCATTTACAAGTCACTTCAGCCTACTGCTATTCTCCTGTCTACCTTCTTATCACAAAGGAGCCACCAATGATGCCACTTGATTAAAATGTATGAGCCCTATATGAACCCGGCTTTAACTCTGAACTAATACTGCTGGTGTATTAATAGCTTTCATTTATTTTGTAATTTGTTCCTCTCCTATTAAGTGAACACTGTCATGTCCGACCCTTTAGAATTTCAGGAGGAAAGCTCTCTCCTTAAAATATTTTTATCCAGATTACAAAGCCATCTATCAGAAATCTTGCTTAGAAGAAGGAAGGAAGGAACAAGAGGCATGGAGCTGCTCCTTAGAGCCCAATTCACCTTATTCAAGCACCTGTTTTGCTTCAGGTACACAAATAGTCAATCCTGTCCAGTTTTGCAGAGGAGCAGCGGTGGAAACAGAGCACTGACCCCCCAGCACACACACAATCCCATTTTCATGACAGTGCCTCCACCGTTCTCCTCCCGGCTTCACAGCACAGACCCTGGGTGAGAACACAGCTCAGGGGCTTACTGGCTGACCCGCCACTGATGCTTTTTCCCCCGGGGCTATCCTTCCCCTGTTACTGTTTTCCAGCCAGACCGCTCCTCTGGTCCCAGCAGCTGGTGATCTGCTGGTGCCACAGGGCACGACACTGGGACAGCTGAGCAGGAGCACGGAGAGCTGTAGGGACAGCAAAGCCAACACAAAAACGAGTGCAGACAGCTCCAGCCCCTGCTTGTGGACACTTCCTACACAACATGCTTCAGGTTTGTTGGTAGAACAACATGAGAAAAAAATCTGTAATGAATCTTTTGTCTGATTTTAGTTCTCCCTCTCGTCAACACAAAAATCTCAGCGTATCAACCCCACGAGCATGCCCTGCCATCCTTAAAACACCCCGAGACATGCTTAAACCCACAAAAACACTGAATTGTCTTCAAAACGCTGTAAACAGCAGTTCTGTGCAAAGGCTGTAATCTCCCTCTAGCTTGCACACTGTGCTGGCTGTCTCTGAATGATGGGAAGGAAAACTCGGAGGACAGCACGATGCAAAAACCACCTGTGTGTACACAGAAACCTGCCCAACACGTACTCAACATAATAAAACCTCTCTCCAGAACGACTGAAAAATTAGTGGTGCCACATCAGAAAATTGCCAGGAGACTAAAAAGAGGGGCACAGATTAGTCACACTGTTCCTATACACAGAAACTGAAAAAAAAAAGAAACACAGTTTTGCTTCAGAAGACTGAGGACTGCTCCTGTTTGCACCATCTTCCAGAGACCCCCCTAAGAACACAGCTCTTTGCACGGGTGTTAAGTCCACGATTCTGTCCAGTTGCTCTGCCAAAGCACACACAGCCCATGCCCAGCAGAATGGACCCACTTAGAGCCACTGGGGGGGAGTAACAGTAGCTACGAGCCCTGAATAGGACCCAAACTCCTTCTCAGTCAGAATTTTCCAGAGACAGAAAAAACAGATGGAGAATTCTGCTTGCAAAACTGTCAAGTGCGGAAACATGAAAGGCTGTAAATAATTCACTCTCTATTACAGGAAATGTTTTACAAATGAAAAGGTTGTAACCTCTTTGTGGCTACAAGGCTGGCAGATGCTGCAGGCGGTCCTGCTTCTCTAAGTGCAGAACACGATGTGCCCTGTGCATGAGAAACCAGCAGAGATCCTCGCTCCTCAGCCCTCCCCGGTGCTTCTGTCTGTATTTCTGACGGACGGGTCACAAAGGAGGGAAGCCTGCACACTGCTAGAAATGCACCGCAGGCTGCCTAGCAATGTCATGTATTCCGATGACACAGCTGCTGCAAGGCACAAGGCAGAGCTAAGATACCACAAAGAGAACAGAGAATAATTTGAATTATTTCTATTTACATAAACACCTCCACACCATTGTTTAAAGAGACACAAACTAAAAACGTGCGTGCAAGTTATTACAGGTGGCTCAATAATAAATGTTTGATGCAGTCTTAAAGCAGTGACATCGGTCAAACCCGGTGGAAATAAAACCGTCTCCAACCTCAAAGGGGTGGCCACACGGCTGCGTACTGGCCCGGTGCACAGAAGCAATCCCAAATAACGAGACCCTGCCTAATTGCCTTCACTTCTTATCACTGCACACTGTGGTCCCTCCACCGCCCCCCCGCCAGGTTAGCTGGCAGCCAAACACAATGATGTTTTGTATCTAAAAGAAATCGGAATCTCACCTGGATGTTGCCAAAGTCCACGTTTTCATAATGGAAATGCGCACATTCGGCCATCTTCGGGAAATGACCCTTGGTAAAGGATAACCTGGAGCATACCAAAAGCACACCGTAAGGTAGATGCAAATCACTGGAACAAGGCTCAGCATTATTATAAAATGCGGTTACTGATACAAAATAACGAGGACTTGCTCATCCTACAGCCAAGGGAATAACAGAGGGATTTGTTGATGTGATGCACCAAAACAGTGGAGAAAGGAACCGAGTGAGAAAGGAAAAACTAAATTGCAAAGTGGCTTTTATCATTGCATCCTTAAAGAACTGCGTGGCATTTCACCACCAGCAAAGCCCACATCTTCAAGAAATGGTGCAGGGACAAGCCGCTCTACCTTTACAAAAGCATTTTTGCAGTGCAAATAAACAGCCTTACACGAGACACGTAGGAAAGTAGAACGTTACCTGTGAAAGGCATCACAGCCCATCAGTCCCGGGTTGATGTATCTGAGGGTGCAGAACAAACGCTATTTATCCTTTGCCTTTTTAAAATTCAAAAGTGAGGCATAATTATTCCCAAGTGTCTCCAGCTACAGCGATGGCTGACGGGGAGATCCTCTGGCTCTGCAGCATGCTCTCGCTTCTGCTGAAGCTACTATCAACTCCTATAGAGATTTCTGGGGGTGAGCCAATGAGATTGTCATTATCTAACTCTCTCTTCCCACGGGAATCGAAGTGGGAAGTGAGATGCAGCATCTGGCTGCTCAGCACTAGAACAAAGAGCCAATTCCCTTACAGCGCGAGAGCACTACAGAGGGTGAGCTGAACGCACAGGCCAACACTGGGGAGTTCTGCTCCTCAAGTCTGCTTTCGTAGCAAAGACAAGACGAGTAATATCGATTACTTTTGGTCCCCTTTGAAGGTTAAAGGTTTGAAGCCTTAGCTGCAAGCATAATAACTTCGTTTACATTCTCTGGGAGAGAATGAAAGAGAGAAAGATGGTGTAAGCCCACAGGAAAAAAAAAATCTGGGAGATCAGGGAAGAAAAAAATACCCCTAGAAAAGAAAAATTATTGAAAACCCATTCAAACGAAGAGGTACAGGCCAGAATGCAAAAAAAGAAAAGAAAAGAGAAAAAATATCAAACAGAAAATATATTTAGGCCACTCACTTGTCCTGGTTTAGCTTCCCAGAGCATAGGGAGATCTCATTTATACATTGCCTGGGCTTCTCTTTAGATTTTTGATATGTTTTTATTTTTAAATGAATCAGTTTCAGAAAGAAATAACAAAAATTTTAAAATACAGTGAGGTTCAAAACTCCAACAAGCTTTGCTGCTATGTCCAGAAACAGGCGACAGAGCCAACAAAACCTCTCGTGTCCCCAGTTTTAGGTTACATTAGCTATAATTTACTTTGTTCCGCAAGGATTTTGATTGCTCTGACGAAGATACTATCAAAACTGTTGCCCAATGCCCTAGCTGTATTGCAGCACAATAGATAAGTCCCAGGATATCAAAACTAGAAGCCCAGCAAAGAGAGGAAAATCAAAGAACGCTGCTCTTACTTTTTCACGTTCTTCACTTTCATACTTGCTGTGCTTCCACAGGTCCGGAGCGGCAGCTCCCCTGGAATGTCAGGGATATCTGCACCTCTTGCCTGCAAAAAAGAAGAAAGAAAAAGCAAAGAACTTAAAATGTGACTGCATGCCTTGGACCACCGCCTGCTAAGCAGCAGCCCCTGTATTTTCACCCGTATGTGCAAACACAGCTGAAATCTCCTATGTGCTAGAAATCATCCTAGTGCCTTTTGAACAAGGCAAACTGAACCTGAGGATTACGATCTAGTACGCGATTATCTCTTCCGGAGCCATGCTGCAGAGCCTTGCTAATTCTTAGTAATAACTGCGAGATCCAGGATTTTATTCATTTCTACGTCTGGTTTCTCAAGAGGAGATTTTCAGATGCAGGAGTCTGACATACGTTCCTGAACTCCACACTTAGACTCCTCGTTAAGCACCTGATTTTCCAAACATCTGTGCACTCGGGTTCAGGCAGAGGCACTGGCAGAAGCTGGATAGCTCACACAGTGGAAAAATCAACTCAATGACAGAGCTGCTTATATGTGGGAGGTTAAGCTTTTCAAAAAGATGTTTGAAGCTCTTCGTATAAGTGCATGAACACATTAAAATTCCTTAATCACTAAAATTCATTTACTGTAGTGAGGCCACAACGCCAAGCTCCCTTTCATTTGTTCTGTCATGCTCTCCCATCCTCCAGCTGCTTTCACCAGCCGTGAGCTCTGCTGGGGTGGCGTTCACCGTCCCAGGGGGCTCGGACCCTCAGTGCCATGCGTTTCTCTTGCTGTGCCCTAAGTTCTAGAGGAATGAAGGGTTTTAGGTGAGGCTTTTACGAAGGGAGCAGTGATCAAGACTTCACAGAGCAGAAGGAGGAAGATGTGGTGCCTGATGCTGGCCAGAGATGGCTCATCAGAGATGGGGTGAGATCAGTTGAACGAGCTTCTTTCTGCTTTACACAATGCACTACAACACAGGGATAACGTTCCAAACAGTGAATGCTCAAGCACGAGGAAGAAAGGCACTTCAGTCCTCCTTCTCTTACGGGCCTGGAACAAAAACCTATTGCACCAAACCCATTTTCTAATGACAGGAGTAAACGGATCACTTCCCTGATCCAGACCCAGTGCTGGTCCCCCAGGAGATCTCTGAACAGAGATGATCAGTGCAACAGCTGTTCTATGTAACAGGACACAGATGTATGCTGCAGTGTAAAACATGGAAACAAACTGGTCCTCGCCCCCAAAACTTTAGAGTCAATTACAATCCAACCTAGCAGCCCACACAGGGGACAAACAACGGGGGAATCTTTCTTATCCCCTCCCTGAAGCTCTCATTTCAGCTTGACATGGGTCAAATGTACATGTGCTTCACCACATCACAAAGAGCTGCCGTACGTAAGTCCAAACCATTCACCATGCCTGCATCCATCAACTAACAGCAGAGCTGGAGGCAATGATTCATCTCATTCAGCTCCAGACAGGCACGAGGCACACGGCTACAACTGTGTTACCAACCCCAGGCTGCTTTCACAGCCCCCCGAGATAAACAGGCACTTTGGTTCCCTTCACCTACTTCAGCCAAGCGGATTAGGATAAAAGCCATCGCGGTGCAGCACTATCCACTTCTCCCTGGAGCCGGGGATCCGGGATGACCCTGGCTCGGATGCAGGCACACACCGTAGCCAGCCGCGTCCACCCCACCAGAGTGATCCCCCTGCTCCCAGCATCGCTGGATAAATGTGACGCCGGGACACGTTCTGCCTTTCCCAGCCCTGAACATAAGCAACGCTTTAACTGTCCCACAGCTGTACAGAACGTGCCCCCACTGGAGGAAAAAGGACAATATTTGTATCCTTAAATAAACCTAGCCTGGGCTGAGTGACTGGCACTAAGTACACAATCACTTCAGGAGGCAATAGCACACTTGAGAGTCTCATTGTGAATTTTAAGATTAAGAGGATCACCAATTTAATAAACCTGATAGGTCTTTTACATAAGAAAATAACTAATTACAGTAATAAATGTGCCATTCCGGTAAGCTGCTTTTAGGCAAAGCAGGATGTGCTTGCCTTAATTTTCTAAGGAACAGAATTTCTGTAGGAAGAAAAATGTTTTTTCTTCTCCATCAGCAGTAGAAGCTGGTGGGATATAAAAATGGATAAATAAATCTGACAGAAAACTGTGGGCTTTGAGCCAGGTTGCAGCAGTGGGTAGACACTCCCCTGGATCTGACTCAAAGCAGTGTAGGCAAAACTCACACCTCCAGGAGACTGAAATGCCAGCATCACTCTGAAAAAGTTGCTTTATCCTCTTTTTCCCAGTTGAGTTATGTCCAAATGCTGCTGGAAGGAGATACCTGCCTCTCCCATTTCCAACAGCATCTCCCCATTTCAATGGACTAGGACGAGCTGTAACAGAGTAATTAACTTCGGCTGCTCTTCCAATTGGATCTGAGCTCTTCGGACTCTGCTGCAGAGTAACCACCTCTCCTGAGCTTCACCACTGAGGAAAAAGGGCAGAATGGTGACCTTGTGCAAACCGAAGTCTTCAGCATGAGGTACTAACACCAGAGAAAACTTGGTGAACAGATAGATAAGCAAAAAAGAAACTTCTTGCAATTTTACAAATCATATAAAATAAAGTGCAACTACTTTCCATTTAAACCAAAGATACACAGCTAACATAAAAGTACACTTTAGTTACCACTAGTTTGTACCTGTTTCAATCCAAAACCTGGCATGCAAAATGTCACCCTAGATTACCCTCCTCTCAACATACAAATAAAACACTCCAAATGAGATTTGTCATCTTTTGTGCTTTGTGTCACAGTAATTTAATTTTAAAAATCATTTTGAAACACTTGAATTATTTACATCTGAAAATTAGCTAGCTAGCATCCTCAGTTGCTCCTCACTTCCCTATTTTCCATGCATCGCTGTTCTGTGGAAATCTCTAATTGCATACCAAGCCTGTTTATGCAAATTATTTATTCCCATTTTCACAGCTTACCGTCACTGCTGCACCAACCTGCTCTGGCCCAAAACTGGGTAAACAAACGAGGACTCGATCTAGAACGGAGCCTCTTGACCGTATCAGGATCCTCAGCGAGGCAGGTGGATCCCACTAAAATGTTTTCTCTCAGCAATTCTGGGAGAAGCCTGTCTGTCTGTCCCACAGTCATTCCATCTTTAAATCATCGGTGTGTCATCATTTGCTCGGTGGGTATCAGGAGGACCCTGAAGCTCCTACATCCCTGGTGCAATTTTCAACTGTTGCTGCTGAACTCCTTGGGAATCCGAGAGCTCTTACAAGTCACGGTGCCCAGCCTTAAGCACACAATTTTGACATTTTTTGTCTTTCTATTTATAGTCATAATTTGGAAAACTTCAGCTTTGCGCTCTCCAGCGCACAAAACCTTAGTCATAAATAATCCATATCTACCAACTCCACTGCATAATATGAAAGGATTTTCTCCTCTAAGACGTCTCATTGCATTTATCAGAAAACACATCAACCCGTCTCCCTCACATCCGGAAATGTAACACAATTTGAAAATACACGTAAAATTGAAGAAAACAGCCCAGTGAACACGATGGGATAAAGTTTCCACCTTGGTATCCTCAATAGGGAGAATATTGAAGCTGTGCAAAACCCACAGTCCTCCTTCGATCGCCACAGACTTACACCGGGACGCACGAGAGAAGAAAGGGTGGAAGCCCACCCAGCTCCAGGGATCCCATAGCTGCTGAACGGGTTTCCCACAATACTACCATAAAACCCCCGAGGAGGTACCATATAGAGGAACAGATCCAACACAAGGGTTGACCAGTCAGCATGTGCCCAGGCTACTGAATTGAACTGGGATTTCTGAAGGTGGAAATTTACTCCTAAACCAAAGCAAGAATAACTATCAGACAGTCAGTAACATTTATGCATCTCACTACCACCAGGCTCTCACCAAAACCAGTTTGGAGGGACCAGATTGCTCTGGATTCTTGCAGCACATGGTCGTGTTTCTAAAAACAGCAGAGCGGATTCAAAATGCTAGCTGGTTTCCATGACAGTCCTTCCTTTACATCATCTTTATTTCCTCTGAATTTTCTCGGAGGGAAACAAAAAAGACAAAAACCAAAACACAAAACCCAAGAAAACCTCCTTAGAGGTATCAAAAACCAACCCCCCAAGCTTTGTTAGAGTTTTACTTCTTCCCTGAAGAACAGCAGGGAACAGGGATTGTTCCAGTAAAAGCCGTTACTCCGTGGTACCGCTCTGCGTAACTCGAGCGAGAGGACGGGCTGAAGCGGTCAGCATACACAGCTCGATGTCTAAGCGGCTGTTCACGCACCAGGACACCAACAGCCACTCCAAACCTTGGGTGCCAGCTAGCTACGCAAGGCTGGCTCAGCATCAGCTTCTTTGCTGGGCTTCACTTGGCAACGTTAAAAAGAAACTGCATGGATCACCACGAGGAAAAGATGATAACACCACCCCGCTCTAACCTGTTACTGCTCAGGAGTTAGCCCGAAGCACCATGACAGAAGAAAAAAGGTTCATCTCCGCTCCACGCTCCAGAGCCACCAGCACACTCCAGGGAAAGCAAGCGCTCCCTGCTCTCGCTTTATGGGCTGTGGTAACTGTGCAGGTTCTCCAGAATAAACACAGCAACAAAGCAAAGGGAAAATGCTTTCCCCAAACTGAAAGCCACCGTGTCCAGGCTACTACAATGCCTCCAAAGGAAAGGTCCCGATTCGGCGGCATTGATCTGCCCAAGCGCTATCCCTGGAAAGCTGTCACTGGGTCACTTTGCTGAACGGAAAAAATGTCTGGTAACTGGTGCAGATACAACACTCATCCAGAAATGTCAGGGGTACAGTGGCGATACGATGGAAATGCGAGGATTTGCCAAGTTCTTCACAGTACCACTTTCCGTTGATGCATTTAGTGGATGCAAATGAGTTCCCTAATCATTCAGGCTCAATCACCCAGGCCCAACAACCTCAGTTTGAACAGAAATATCTGCTCATTAAACTACAGCAGCTTTATCGAAGAAGTAAAAACTAAAAATAAATACCCTTGGTCCA